CGTGACCCTACAAGGTTGTTGTTGCAATTCGAGGAGGTTAGTGTTTCCCAGTATTTCCTAGATTTCAGTTGCTCCGGAAAGAACGAATTTGATTGTGTGGTGGTATTATGACTTTAAAAAGCTAAACCAAATCAACTGATGGGTTTGTTCATCGTTGTGCTATATGTTTGAAGCCTACTAACACTAGAGAGGGTATGCTGATAATTTTATTATTTCGTAGGAACTTTTTTCGCTAGGTCGCTTCTCTCCCTAAGGATAGCAGATAGAAAAGCAACTACTCTTATACCTATTGTTACCAGAATTGTTAAAAGGGGGTCAATTATACACACGGAAAGGCTACAATTCGCTGTCATCTCTGGGATATATTCATCATAGAGACAACCATTCAAGTGATTTTGTGGATCCCGTTACGAGGACACATACAAATTCTAATGAAGGATTTTGGGGCAGGTTGGAAAATAGGATAAGGGCTATAAATGTATCTCAAAAGGATCTCATTTATAGTCATTTGGATGAATATATGTACGGGATATGATGTAACTTCTCCATTGACAGTCCCATGCTAAACTGGGAGATTTTTCTCTCACATGTTCGAGAAAGATATCCCATGTAACTTTTTTATTCTCTATTTTATGCTTTTTTCTACAAATATACATTTCCATTCATCATATATGCCTCTTTAATGTGATTGGTCCGTTCGAGATCGTTTGCTGATTGGTTGTTAGTGGTGTCGAAAGTTTAACTTTACCATCTAAATCATAAAAAATAATGGTTCTTTACTCCTAACATCTACAAGCCTGCTCAGTTTCTTGTCAAGATGCTACCTCATGGGCCATACACAAGTTCGCCAGACATCTTACACGTCACCATATCCAACAGGTTCTAACACTTCAAGCCACTTCTCTCTGAAATGTCACTTATATACTTCTCATGGAAAATTCCCATTGTAACATATAGAAAATTAAAACAAGTGATTCAGCAAAGAGACTCTTTTTCAACGAATTTATCAGCAAGCTGTACGGCCATATATATATGGTTTTTAAGAAGTTATATCCGGTGAGGGAATTGAATCTTAGGTGTGAATGCATAAAATAATAATATGAAGTTCAATTATAACTAAAATGTTTGTGATTATAATCGTAGTTAAATGTCAAGTGGCAAAGCAAATTAATGTCATATATAGATAGAATAATTCATATATACTTCACGACAATCCTCCTATCTGATTAGTAATATGCTCTATTTTATCTCAACTCCCTAGGCCTTTGATAAATCTGAAACTTACTGCTTTTTTCTCACTCATACTCTTCTCTCGCATAAAGTTCAGTTGCTCTGATAATGACAAAAACATAACAACAACCGTCAATGTAGTTGAATATTGAACGATCAATTCGTGGTTGTTTGCTCAAATCCAACTCCTCCATATTTTAGCGGGAGTCATTAATACGGCAGTCATCGTCCCATCGTTCGCTGTTCGTCGGAAGACAGAAAACTATCCGAAGGATTATCGTGATTTATTATTATAACGTTTATTCTAAGACCTTGTGTGTAATAACCTTATTGTTGGTTACACATTGGCGTAAGAAATAAGGATTCTCGAGCCGCCAGTCTATGTTCTGGTTTTTCGCGTTGGCCATTACAAATTGTTTTTGAAAGTCTTCGATGGACAGTGTGAGGTCCAGCGTAGTAAGAGCTGAACATTGACAGTTTTTGAGAGTTGGCTGACAATTGTTAATGTCCACGTCTTACTACACTGGAACTCACACTATCTTTGGAAGACTTTCATAAACTATGCGTAATAACTAACACGGAAAACCAGAACGCAGATTGATGAACCAAGAACCGTTTATTCTTGCACCAATATAGAGCCAACCATTAAGTTATTGTACACAAAGTCTAAGAATAAATTTTATAACAATGAATCACAATAATACTTGTGATAGTTTTCCAACAAACAGCGAACGATGAAACGATGACTGCCTAATTAATGACTCCCGCCAAAATATGGGCTTTGAGCAAACGACCATGAATTGATCGTTCAATCTTCAACTACATTGACAACAACGCTCATGTTTGAGAATAACCATATTTTCATAGGAAACTTTCCAGCTTTCCATAGTAAGACAAATATGGTTAGCATCATATATTGCAAATGTGTACTATCGTATCAAGTACTGTATAGTTTATTCTTGTAAATATACTTCCAATAGTGTATTATTCATGAGTGCACTTTATACCATTTTGCAGCTGCACAGGATTTTCTCCTCTTCCTGAAATAGCGTTCAAGCACTCACTCAAATATATGTTGTTTATCGATGGGCCATAACTATAATCAGGAAACGGAACGAAGTTTGGGTTGTCGATGGAGACCTTCGTGAAAGATTTACAAACTAACAATTATAAGAATCTGTTCCGATTGCTTGTGCTATTATTTAACAATTTGAACTTTTGAAAAAGTAATAATATATGCTAATTAACAATTGTAATTCGCAATATAATTGATCGTGCCTGTAAAAATAACATGCACTTCATGTAAACTTATCCGTTTATACGAAATATATATTTTTATCATAACCGTGGTATGGTTGTTTTCAGATGTCTGCATATGGTCATTTTTCCCACATATTTCTTTTCCGAACTTTTATTCATCGTTACTGTAAACCAGTGTGATGCCGGGGCTTCAGAGGCAACAAGCGACCTTCTGAGTTGTTAAGTTACTCATATGAATCTCAGTAATCCTACGTGAACCCTAAGAAGCTCTTGGACTGAGATGATATCGGTCTGGAAGCAGTGTACAAAAACTCTTTATGTAACCCATTTTAGCTCTCAACTGACTCACTGAAACTCTCCAAAGAGTGGAAGAGGGTGGTCATCCATGCGCCCTACAAAGTTGTATGTTAAAAAACAGTTAGTTCCCAAAGATCTAAGTATCTTTAAGGCCACAGATAGTGGAATGCCAAGTAAGCAACCACCTAGTAGTTTACTTTCACCAGAGAGACATGCTTTATGGAACTTGGCATGGCTTCAAAGGTGATGCAGTTTGTGCTACAAATCAATTATCAGCCTGCATGACCAGACAGAACGTTAGTACTTGGATATACCAGTCAGCGCAACCTGCATTAATTGTGAGAAGCCATTCGACTTCGCTCCACTTGGCATTTCCCCCCCAAAGATTCGCCAGAAAATTGTCTGTTTGTTGTTGCTCTTAAGGCTGGCAAATCATATCGATTAAGGGGACCCTACACAGGAAACAACTGCTCTCGCTCATCCAACCACAGGTCAGCATCAGGAATTTCACCAGGAGTTGATTTTTGGCCAACGTTGTTCTCACTGCACACTGGTGAATTTCTGGGCTGCCCCAGAGATATCACCTAGTATTATATTCGGGTCTTTTCCCGAGCAATTAAAAATATTTATTCCTATGTCTGCGAACTCATGTAAAAGCAAGCTTCAGAAGAACACAAGTAACTTAGGCTGGTGGTTCATCGAAGATTTCAGTTTCATTTGTTCGTGCTTACGACCGACGATGTGTAGGAGTGTCAGAGAGTCATCATTCTCCTACATAAATCACCTGAGACAGAGATACCAATAATTAAAGAGCAGTAAGTGATGCAAAAATTCTTATTTTCGTGTCTATATTATAGGGTTGAAGGCGCGATCTGTGGGGGAAATTATGTTTCGATATTCATCAAATTAACATGGGCTCAAACTTTGAATTGGCAGGGACACTTTTGAGGAACTGACTTGGCAGCTAATATCCCCTTTGAAATTGACTACGTGCTGGCTGGACTAAGTATCAATTTTGAGATTTCACTTGAGACAATAGTGGAAGTCACTTAGATTATTAGTACTACCATTCAGTGAAAAGATTATTACAATTGCCATAGGTTTGAGTGATAAGATACTAGGAATTTAAGTACCTGAGTAACTGGAAAAATTCGGTTCACAATTTAAGGAGTCTATTCGATTTCTATGAGCCTGACATTCTATTAACTGCATCTATAGTTTGATTGTATTGTTGCTTGATAATAAACACCGTGAACTTGTATATCCACGTTGATAACGGATACCGAATGTCCGCCTTCAATCTCACCACTAATAAATGACTTCCAAAACCCACTTAACTGAGAACCCACTCCACTATGGTTGAGAAAGATATATCCACACACTTGGTAAGACAGAAAATAATGTATTTTAGAAAATATTGAACAGTGCACAGCAGTAATGACCACAAACCATAGAGGTCAACGTAAAAACAAAATTCTAATACTTCCATTTTCAGCCTGTATATCAATCTGGGTTTTACTTTTTGTGAAGAGACTAAGATTAATAGCAATCGACTCTTACATATAATAATTACTCTACTTACAAATCTCTAACGCGTATGAGGCACTGCTGCCGTATGAATATTTATTTGGAAGGCGCACTAGAGAGGAAGTGAAATAGGAGGACCTAGTCAAATACATGGAAGAGTATTCATCATCCAGTACCGTCTAATAGATAGAAAGACTTACCAATCATAAGGAAGGTACAGTTCCTACTTGGTTACTACACGCATGACTCTGAATTTCATAACTACTAATTTTGAGTGAACGTATGTTTTTGTGCTAAATATACCCTATAAAAGCTATTCGTTCTAGAAAAAGAAGTCCAAAGGGTAATGCGAGATGCAGCTTCAAAACATAGACACATTGCACTATCATTGAGACTAATGCACCCATTTATTGATGCTTAAGAATTCACTACACACCAGTGATGTCTTTACATATGAAAGGAATCTTCACATTTTACTATTGGAATTACAGACTTTTCCACTCTTAGACAAACTGTATGAAAAGCAATAGGGGACAGGACTGGAGACTATGACCAAATCATCCTGCAATGCTGCTACTTCAACGGTCAACACAAACTTTAAGTACTCCAATATTCGATGCTGAAAATGAATTCTGATCAGCGTACAGGCATTACAACGGAAAACAGTCACTTATGTGACACCCCCAGTCATTTTAACTTATTTACATCAAAAAATATTTTGTTTTTCCAAACTGACATTGCCCAGAGGACGCTAATATGCGGATGTTTGATTTCGAATCCAGGGTTTCTGTTGCTGTGTTTGGACATTTAGTGCAGTAACAAACGTCAAACTCTGAATATGAGAGTTAGTGGGAAGATACAAATTATTCGTAGGGACGGTACTAGTGGAGAGCCATGTAATTGGCATACCGATAAATGTACAATTGGCAGGTAACTCTTAATTTTGTTATTGACCCTGCAACAGCAAAACAGATAGTGACATACGAATTCAACACCCATCAGTGGCTTCTAAACATTGTGAGCTGCACTTGTTAGACAATGGTCAAGTTATGGCCGTCAGCAGAGTGAACGAAGATTATATAATGCTCGTGGACAATATCCCACTAGAAGACTCGTGTATGTTATCCAACAATTCAGTGCTGACTGTTGGAGAGCGTCAGATACGATTCATGTACCCGCCGGTAAGTCTTCGTCACGAGAAACTTATTTCAAGCTTTTTTTTTACCTATATACTTGATGACACCAAATATTTATATTGATGTGTTCTTTAAGTGTATTCTTTGCGGACCTTTAAGCTTTCGTGCAAGTTAGTACTTCAAATTCCTGCGTCAATCAGGAGTGGAATAGGTGTAGAGAGAGGCTGTGTGACTAAAGTTAGGAGTCTTCAGTGCCTAGGGGTTTTGTATGGTTTCATAACAGCGATTTTGGCTGATTTTAGTATGGTATTCATTGTAGTATTCCTAAATCTGAGGCATTGTCTCGTCCATGTACGTAATTTTGTAGCTCTGTTGTGCCAGCCCTAGTGTGTAGTCAGCGATTGGGTTTTACTTAGGTGAGGTGTGAACTATGATCACACTAGAAGTACAACGTGTGGACATGTAGGGATAAGAATAGGGGGGGGGTATAATTTACCTGGTTATCATGACAAACAGTAAAATGCAGGTCGTGCCACGAGGGAATTCACAGTTGGTTTTATTCTTTAATATTCATTCCCCAAGGTCAATCATAGTGCTGAAATGTGTTTTGTTTCACACTCTGGCGTGTTACGACTGTAGGTGGTAAACGTAGGTATGATAGTTATTCATAATAAAATTGGTTACTGAAAACAGCGAAACCAATCAATGTTGTGAGGATACTGCTTTCGGTGACTTCATTAACCTGTATTTCCATATTTCCATTTTACAGTGATGATTATTTTCTCACTTCTAACATTTTGTCTTTTTACATACTTTCCCATGGATAAACGTGAAGAGAGTAAGAAGAATAGATATATTGTGATAGTATGAGCTAGTTGCTCGGTACAATGCCGGTTTTTGGCTACTTCCCGTTACGGAATGACGCCGAAGTTAAGAAAATGGGCGTCATATCAACAGTGTTAGATGAGTGTTGTGTAGAGCAAAAGCCGAGAAGGACATGTTTCAGCTGTAAGGTGAGTACGTACTAGATAATAAGATGAGTATTCAAAATAAGTAGTTCGGAATTTATATAAGAACGGTGTTAAGCTTGGGAGGGTATGTCAGTAATATAGGGCAAGCAACGGACAATTTTTTTTTGAGCAGGAAGAAAGAGTAAGCTGGTTAATGCATAGAAAAAGATATGATATTCTCTAGACAGAATGGAAGAATACATGATGTAGGGAAACTGCACATTTCATGCAAGTTCAATCAAGATTGCAGTTTTCTGTTTTTCTAGGTAGTTAGATTTGGTTGTAACTGTTTGGAATTTGCTCCAATCAGACGTAACTCGCTAGACTTTAGCTTACATCGATTATTTCTGATGCCTTCAAAATTTTCACAATATGGCCAGTATCTGATAATCAGTCATTCAGTTACCTCTAGTTTCATGTATCAATCCGCCTGTACATGCCAAGGCGCGTACATTGGAAGGAGAATAGGCTTATAGTCCGAGTTTTCGGGGGTCGAAAACGCGACTACTACGCTTGGTCTCTAAGCATCGCGGTCACACCCCAATTATCGGTAGGCCGGAAATAACATCGTAGAGAGGTGCTGAGGATAAAAAAATCATATGGCATTTCCAGTGCCTATGATATGCAGAATGGTAATCCCTAGTGACCATAGTGACTGGGTTTTCCCCTTGAAGGTACATTCTGTTATGAATTAAGATTGTTACCGATGGCGGCAAAGCACTTCTTCAACTATTAGTGTCTTAGCGCTTAGATTTGGAATATCTCTCTGGGGTCTTCGTGAAGCTAGAAGGCAGTCGTTAAAAATTTTAGTGAACTGGTGTTATGGTTCACTGGCATAGTTGGTGGGTCAGAGGTACTATGCTCTCTCCATTTATGGAGGTTTAAGCGATCACCGGGTAGTATCAGTCGCCCTCACATCATAAGTGTGGTTTATTGTCACATGCATTGGAATCCAAGTGGTGTCTAGGTAGCCGTGCAGTTTTTGTCATTCGGTGAATTGACACAGGAGTGTTTACTCATGTCATCGGTCATTTACACCCTTTGACCTCTATTTTATCATCTATACTCTTCCAATATTTGTGATTATCTCAGATAAAGGGTATGCAATTTAAGTTGGCTCATCACTTGTTTTTTATAAGACGGTCATCTGCGTAGTGTAGTTGTTAGTGTAGAGGTTCCATACACCCTGTCCTCTTGGTAATTTTGGGCAGCAAGATGGCAAGATAACATTCTTTACTTCACAGCCTTTCGGCAACTGACAGCCTAAAAATGACCTAAATCATATACGTAAATAGATAACAGACTTCACAGTTATTTCAATTCAAAAGGTATTTAACGATTCTTAGCATAATAATAGAACAAGAATTATGAATTCAAGTTAGTCATTGGTTGAGAAACCAGAGCTTATTTGTACAAAATATGACAGAGTTCAAGAGTAAAAGATTGGGTGAAAAGATACGGTGAGCAAAGTAAGACTATTGTGTACGCAGACAGTTAAGTATACTTTTTTACTTTACTTCGGCTATCTCCTACGGGAGGATGAACCGGCTTCATGAACATCTCGAATGTTTGTAAGAGAGTTGGTGAAGTTTCATGGGAATTGGGTACGAGTGATGTCCCCAGCATCGCTCGGAGACAGTTAAGTATATTGGAAGACTAATGATACAAGTGAACTTCTAGGCTGTTGGTAGCTGACGAAGTACGGTGAAACAGAAAATGAGCTCTTTATCCATTCTAGGTTTGAATTGTTTTCAAAGATGGCGAATGAAATAAAATCATTCTGGTGTATATTCGTCACGTCTAAGGTAGATTTCTTGTGTTTTGGGTGGGTATATCTCCTCCTGACTTGCTTTTCTCAGTAATCAAAGTTTTATGTGGGGGCAAACAGTGGTAAGTGACAAAAGTGAAAGAAATGTGGAAATAAATCAGTAGCAGGCTATATTCGTCAAAAGATTAGAGTCAGCAAAGTAGTTGGTCTTGAAAGTTCCACAGTGAGTGGGACAATCTCTGAAAGGGATGAAATCTCAAGAGGGACGGTTGGAGCATTGGATAAAGTACTTCATTTGGCCTATAGCTGCAGTACATAGCTTACCAGGCAACCCCAACCTAAATGAGATGTGGGCAACCATACTACAAATAACATCAAGGTTGCTATATGCCTTCCTTAACCAATAATGATGCGAAACAGCAGGACTTGGTAGTTTGACTCTACAGATGTTTAATGTTAGTAAGGGACTGTAGATTAAAATGTCTGGAATGCTGGTTGGAAGTGTAGCTATTTGGGATAGTTCCATGTAACTCATCACAAATGCTTAGTTATAAAATAAATATTGTTATGATCACATCGATAAGCTTGACAATTATAGCGCCTAAGTGAAGACTAATTATGGTGTAGAAAAACATGAGAGTACCTGGCAAATTTTAGGCCTGGTTTACCATGCATGGTTCAAGCCTTCATTCCAGGTGATTATGATAGTTTGTGTCAGTGTTTATCCTTAGAGGGAGTGTTCGGAGAGTGTAATGCTAGACACTTAATTTGAACTTCTGCAAACTTATATGAGACTATAGAGATTTTTGTCAGAGGCAATGCCAAACAATAGTGCTTGTAAGTTTTACCAGGTGTCATTGTCCATACTCAGTTTTCTTAGTAACTACATACAAGTTCACTTGATTTTTTAAATCAGGAGAATTGCTGGGCTATCAGAAGGTCGTGTTTATTAAGAGTAGTCGGATGATGTAGGCGTTATAGATATTGTTGACGAAATTCAGAATCTTAAACTTCCCAGACGGGAGTTTAATAATGTCTGCCATGCATTATACCCTTGTCAAATGTTATATGGTGTTACAGAACTGGTCTGCGCAAACTTTTTGTTTATAGATAAGGAGTGAAGTGGTCGAATGCATTTACCGATTCACACTGAGAAATTTACATCAACTTCAGTGAGCTCATTGAATTACGAGATCTCATCACGAATATATATATATATATATGTGTATATATATATATATATATACATATATATATATATATGTATATATATATATATGTATATATATATATACATATATATATATGTATATATATATATAAGGCTTATTTGGCGTCTTGTAACGCCAGCGTAGTATCCTCCTACTTGTTAAAGTACATGTTTGTTGAGCACTAGTTCCTACTTCCATTCACTTTGACTGACTGTAAAACATGGTCATTGGAAATAAAAGACAAAAGTATTTCAGTCTGTCACGCATGTTAAGTTTCGCAAAATTACAAGTAGTGTTGAGCTAAGATTTAATGTCAGTTAGGACCAGTGAAGTAAGACTGAACTGGTGGTCAGAACATTATGTGACATTAAGCGATGAATCCACTGACTGTTGATCTACACTTCCACATAGGAGTGTAGATCAGGTGGGTGGGGGATGTCCTCGTGATGTTAACAAACAGTGATGAGATATGTTCGACTAAGATGGCATAAGGTCATAATGCCGTATAAATATGTACATATCCACCTTGTCAGTTTTCAGCGTCTGAAAAGCTTTACTGGTATTCTGTTAGTTATTCGTTGCATCTTACCCCCTGCTGTTGTATCCGTTGTATTGTTTCTTTTGAGTTGTATCAACTTAATTTCGTATAATTTTGTGATGAGGTACATACATACCACACCTGACCAGTGAATCAGGTGTCGTGATTAGTTTTTCGTACTTTTATATTCACACTGTTGCATATGCAGCGCTGACTCCGGTCACGCTTGGCATAGGCAAGAACTGCTGTTATAAATTGATGCGCACAAAGCTGAACAGTTTTTCATGATTCTAAGACAGAATTTGTGGTAATTGTCCAACTTTTGTTACTAAGATAATCTTAGTTAACGGGTATTCAGATATCCAAAGACGCGTGGCATTCATTCACACAGGTAATCTAGGACGTATGTGGAAATGAAGTTCGCTTAATTATTGTTAATCTTTTACATTTTTGATCTAATTACCAATAATCTGTAGTCATGCGTTTAGTAGTTTTAAGAGCAAATGTGTCTAGTCATATTTCCTGGTAGTTGACAAACAGCCATGTTTGTTCTTTTTGGAATACAAGTATAACACAGAATGCTATTTTGTAAACTACACCGTTGAGCCGTACTCTTGCTTTAATTCGTCTTCTGAATAGCGATCAGGAATGAATACTTATTGTCCGTTGCTTTCCAGCGGTCTTTCTGTTATGTGGTGCAGATTACTATTTCAAGTTACATATTTTTTAGGAAATTTAACATATCTTGGCATGACTCAATAGTGTATTTTCTCGTCCCTAGGCCACATACTCTAAGACTCTTTAGTCGACAAACGCGGCTCAGTCAGTTGAACCGAGTCACTTCGAAAGTGTATTTTCTGTAGCAACACGTTTGTGCTATGTAATAACTACACAGCCCATTAAATTTTTTCATTTTTCCATTAATTCTTACTAATAACCTACTACCAATTGACACAGTTTCTTTTGTATATATATTGACAGAGTTTCACTTAGTTTCCAGTGTTGTAGGTTCTGTGATGATGAAAGTACTTCTAAGTCGCAAAAAATAATGATTATTGAAACTAATGTACATCCGATTTATTTTCTTCCACTTGTTTCTGTTTAATTCAGGGAGTTACAATTAACGCGAGTATGCCTGAGCTTGTCAAGAAGACACCAAAGCAACTTGTCAAAGATGGAGCACAATGTACTCCTGACTCTCTACCATTTGTTTATCAACCCAAACGAACAGCCTCTGTAAATCGACCAGCCACACCTGTCACTCGCTCACCCCGACCAAGATCTGCTACTCCAAAGAGAACCCTAGGGACTAGTGAACGTTATGGTCCCGTTCCTCCGCGTCAACCTGCTACCCCACCAATAATTCAAGTACTAAGACATGAAGCAACCTCATCACAATCCAAAATCCAGTCATCATTGCAAACTCCACTGAATAGATTCACAAAGCAAAGCTCGATGGAAAAAAGTAGATTTGATAACTTTAGAAATACTGGACCATGCAAATCAGAGAAAAAAGATCATTTAAAGTTTTACACTGCATCTAATTTTCCACCTTTAACATCATCCACTCCGGGTGGTATGTGTTCATCAACGAATCTGAGGTCTAATCAAGGTATTCACAGTCTAGTTTCACCTACACCATCTGCCAATCATCTCAAGTCTACAGTCGTGGAGAAAAACTTTTCACCTGGATTGAATAAAATTTTACACAAACAGCTTATCGTGAACGAATCATCTAACCTCTCAAAACTCGGGAGAACTGACAACCCTGGTAATACCTCAAATCAAATAAAAAATCAATGTGATATTAGCAAGATATCACTATGTCATGGTCGAAAAAATCAATCATATCTAAATGAGCCAGAAACTTTCCATACCGCCGGAAACCCTTCAGAATGTCTTACCGAATCAGTTAATTCGACTTCCTTAAGATCCATGAAAAGGAAACTACCTCTAAATACATCGAAGAGTGTCAATGTTTTTTCAGCTGCTACAGATTTGGAGTCTGACTATCATGGTAACGAGAATGGACCTGTCATCCAGGATGAAAACTATTCTAGTACAGGGAAACAAATTGCCATAAAACGAAAAAGAGGTGTTTCGTTTGGACCACCGCTTAGCCCCGAGCAATTTGACAAATCCTTACCTCCTTCCACTCCCGTTAAGCGCGGAGAGACGCCACTAACCAAAATTAATCATATCACACCTGCAAATGCTACATTCAAAACCAATCCTGATTTTTCTTCACGTCCATTAACTCCGTTTCCTTCCAAATCGAAATCAACGAGGTCCCAGCTTTCCGTTTTTTCTGAAAACACATTCAACTCCCCATCTTATTATACAACCAGTAACAGAATTTCTGCTGTTATCTCATTGCCTCCTACACCTGACACTAATCTGCTAGACTCTGTTGACACAAAATTTACATGTTCTCCTGGAAGTTACATTGAAAACCCTGTTTTAACTGCAACATATTCTGCGCCAGTCAAAAAATCGTCTGCATATCAAAAAGCATTGAGAAGACGTTCTCTTAACTTCACTGGGTCGACAGAAAAAATCCCTTCGCTACGTGCGCCACCAACCACTCCCGTGTCTATGGCATTACTTTCAAGATCTACAAGTAAAGCAAACAGTTACGTATCCCCCTTTGAATATGAAAGCCTCGTGTTGACATCACCTAGATACCGCTCCCGTCAAAGCGAAAATCCGTTGTTGCTATCGCCCAACAACACGAAGCAAGACGATGGTAGAACTCATGTGTTACCAACACAACAAGCTAGCAACACATCTACTAAGACGAACAAACCACGACAATCTACCCGATATTCACTTCCATTGTACAACAAACAAGAGATCATCTCAAACAAAACAACAAAACAGCTCACATTAACAACCATCAAAAATCCAGAAAATGCCTCTTCCCAACGACATCCACAAGCCTCCTCCAAAAGCCATTCCAATGGTCAGCACACCGAAACTACAGGAACTAGTGGCCATCCATCGTTCGTTCTTAATGACGACAATATAACCCCGAATAAGACATTATCGTCGGTATCTACAGCTGATGTTGTTGGTCTCAGTGGTGTGAAGAAGCTGATGAAGACTCCGAAGTCAGTGTATACACCGCGAGTATCTGGTGTTGGTGATTTGTTTGTTGAGAAGTCGAGCTCGAAGCGAGGTCGTGGTCGTCCATCGTCGGTTCCACCTGAAATTAGTCCTGATGATGAGAGTGCAACACCGAGGAAGAGATTATCGTCGGTATCTACAGCTGATGTTGTTGGTCTCAGTGGTGTGAAGAAGCTGATGAAGACTCCGAAGTCAGTGTATACACCGCGAGTATCTGGTGTTGGTGATTTGTTTGTTGAGAAGTCGAGCTCGAAGCGAGGTCGTGGTCGTCCATCGTCGGTTCCACTTGCAATTGTTTCTGATGATGAGAGTGCAACACCGAGGAAGAGATTATCGTCGGTATCTACAGCTGATGTTGTTGGTCTCAGTGATGTGAAGAAGCTGATGAAGACTCCGAAGTCAGTGTATACACCGCGAGTATCTGGTGTTGGTGATTTGTTTGTTGAGAAGTCGAGCTCGAAGCGAGGTCGTGGTCGTCCATCGTCGGTTCCACTTGCAATTGTTTCTGATGATGAGAGTGCAACACCGAGGAAGAGATTATCGTCGGTATCTACAGCTGATGTTGTTGGTCTCAGTGGTGTGAAGAAGCTGATGAAGACTCCGAAGTCAGTGTATACACCGCGAGTATCTGGTGTTGGTGATTTGTTTGTTGAGAAGTCGAGCTCGAAGCGAGGTCGTGGTCGTCCATCGTCGATTCCACCTGAAATTAGTCCTGATGATGAGAGTGCAACACCGAGGAAGAGATTATCGTCGGTATCTACAGCTGATGTTGTTGGTCTCAGTGGTGTGAAGAAGCTGATGAAGACTCCGAAGTCAGTGTATACACCGCGAGTATCTGGTGTTGGTGATTTGTTTGTTGAGAAGTCGAGCTCGAAGCGAGGTCGTGGTCGTCCATCGTCGATTCCACCTGAGATTAGTCCTGATGATGAGAGTGCAACACCGAGGAAGAGATTATCGTCGGTATCTACAGCTGATGTTGTTGGTCTCAGTGATGTGAAGAAGCTGATGAAGACTCCGAAGTCAGTGTATACACCGCGAGTATCTGGTGTTGGTGATTTGTTTGTTGAGAAGTCGAGCTCGAAGCGAGGTCGTGGTCGTCCATCGTCGATTCCACCTGAGATTAGTCCTGATGATGAGAGTGCAACACCGAGGAAGAGATTATCGTCGGTATCTACAGCTGATGTTGTTGGTCTCAGTGGTGTGAAGAAGCTGATGAAGACTCCGAAGTCAGTGTATACACCGCGAGTATCTGGTGTTGGTGATTTGTTTGTTGAGGAGTCGAGCTCGAAGCGAGGTCGTGGTCGTCCATCGTCGGTTCCACCTGAAATTAGTCCTGATGATGAGAGTGCAACACCGAGGAAGAGATTATCGTCGGTATCTACAGCTGATGTTGTTGGTCTCAGTGATGTGAAGAAGCTGATGAAGACTCCGAAGTCAGTGTATACACCGCGAGTATCTGGTGTTGGTGATTTGTTTGTTGAGAAGTCGAGCTCGAAGCGAGGTCGTGGTCGTCCATCGTCGATTCCACCTGAAATTAGTCCTGATGATGAGAGTGCAACACCGAGGAAGAGATTATCGTCGGTATCTACAGCTGATGTTGTTGGTCTCAGTGGTGTGAAGAAGCTGATGAAGACTCCGAAGTCAGTGTATACACCGCGAGTATCTGGTGTTGGTGATTTGTTTGTTGAGAAGTCGAGCTCGAAGCGAGGTCGTGGTCGTCCATCGTCGGTTCCACTTGCAATTGTTTCTGATAATGAGAGTGCAACACCGAGGAAGAGATTATCGTCGGTATCTACAGCTGATGTTGTTGGTCTCAGTGATGTGAAGAAGCTGATGAAGACTCCGAAGTCAGTGTATACACCGCGAGTATCTGGTGTTGGTGATTTGTTTGTTGAGAAGTCGAGCTCGAAGCGAGGTCGTGGTCGTCCATCGTCGGTTCCACTTGCAATTGTTTCTGATGATGAGAGTGCAACACCGAGGAAGAGATTATCGTCGGTATCTACAGCTGATGTTGTTGGTCTCAGTGGTGTGAAGAAGCTGATGAAGACTCCGAAGTCAGTGTATACACCGCGAGTATCTGGTGTTGGTGATTTGTTTGTTGAGAAGTTGAGCTCGAAGCGAGGTCGTGGTCGTCCATCGTCGATTCCACCTGAAATTAGTCCTGATGATGAGAGTGCAACACCGAGGAAGAGATTATCGTCGGTATCTACAGCTGATGTTGTTGGTCTCAGTGATGTGAAGAAGCTGATGAAGACTCCGAAGTCAGTGTATACACCGCGAGTATCTGGTGTTGGTGATTTGTTTGTTGAGGAGTCGAGCTCGAAGCGAGGTCGTGGTCGTCCATCGTCGGTTCCACCTGAAATTAGTCCTGATGATGAGAGTGCAACACCGAGGAAGAGATTATCGTCGGTATCTACAGCTGATGTTGTTGGTCTCAGTGATGTGAAGAAGCTGATGAAGACTCCGAAGTCAGTGTATACACCGCGAGTATCTGGTGTTGGTGATTTGTTTGTTGAGGAGTCGAGCTCGAAGCGAGGTCGTGGTCGTCCATCGTCGGTTCCACCTGAAATTAGTCCTGATGATGAGAGTGCAACACCGAGGAAGAGATTATCGTCGGTATCTACAGCTGATGTTGTTGGTCTCAGTGATGTGAAGAAGCTGATGAAGACTCCGAAGTCAGTGTATACACCGCGAGTATCTGGTGTTGGTGATTTGTTTGTTGAGAAGTCGAGCTCGAAGCGAGGTAGTGGTCGTCCATCGTCGATTCCACCTGAAATTAGTCCTGATGATGAGAGTGCAACACCGAGGAAGAGATTATCGTCGGTATCTACAGCTGATGTTGTTGGTCTCAGTGGTGTGAAGAAGCTGATGAAGACTCCGAAGTCAGTGTATACACCGCGAGTATCTGGTGTTGGTGATTTGTTTGTTGAGAAGTCGAGCTCGAAGCGAGGTCGTGGTCGTCCATCGTCGATTCCACCTGAGATTAGTCCTGATGATGAGAGTGCAACACCGAGGAAGAGATTATCGTCGGTATCTACAGCTGATGTTGTTGGTCTCAGTGATGTGAAGAAGCTGATGAAGACTCCGAAGTCAGTGTATACACCGCGAGTATCTGGTGTTGGTGATTTGTTTGTTGAGGAGTCGAGCTCGAAGCGAGGTCGTGGTCGTCCATCGTCGGTTCCACCTGAGATTAGTCCTGATGATGAGAGTGCAACACCGAGGAAGAGATTATCGTCGGTATCTACAGCTGATGTTGTTGGTCTCAGTGGTGTGAAGAAGCTGATGAAGACTCCGAAGTCAGTGTATACACCGCGAGTATCTGGTGTTGGTGATTTGTTTGTTGAGAAGTCGAGCTCGAAGCGAGGTCGTGGTCGTCCATCGTCGGTTCCACTTGCAATTGTTTCTGATGATGAGAGTGCAACACCGAGGAAGAGATTATCGTCGGTATCTACAGCTGATGTTGTTGGTCTCAGTGATGTGAAGAAGCTGATGAAGACTCCGAAGTCAGTGTATACACCGCGAGTATCTGGTGTTGGTGATTTGTTTGTTGAGAAGTCGAGCTCGAAGCGAGGTCGTGGTCGTCCATCGTCGGTTCCACCTGAAATTAGTCCTGATGATGAGAGTGCAACACCGAGGAAGAGATTATCGTCGGTATCTACAGCTGATGTTGTTGGTCTCAGTGATGTGAAGAAGCTGATGAAGACTCCGAAGTCAGTGTATACACCGCGAGTATCTGGTGTTGGTGATTTGTTTGTTGAGAAGTTGAGCTCGAAGCGAGGTCGTGGTCGTCCATCGTCGATTCCACCTGAAATTAGTCCTGATGATGAGAGTGCAACACCGAGGAAGAGATTATCGTCGGTATCTACAGCTGATGTTGTTGGTCTCAGTGATGTGAAGAAGCTGATGAAGACTCCGAAGTCAGTGTATACACCGCGAGTATCTGGTGTTGGTGATTTGTTTGTTGAGAAGTCGAGCTCGAAGCGAGGTCGTGGTCGTCCATCGTCGATTCCACCTGAGATTAGTCCTGATGATGAGAGTGCAACACCGAGGAAGAGATTATCGTCGGTATCTACAGCTGATGTTGTTGGTCTCAGTGGTGTGAAGAAGCTGATGAAGACTCCGAAGTCAGTGTATACACCGCGAGTATCTGGTGTTGGTGATTTGTTTGTTGAGAAGTCGAGCTCGAAGCGAGGTCGTGGTCGTCCATCGTCGATTCCACCTGAGATTAGTCCTGATGATGAGAGTGCAACACCGAGGAAGAGATTATCGTCGGTATCTACAGCTGATGTTGTTGGTCTCAGTGATGTGAAGAAGCTGATGAAGACTCCGAAGTCAGTGTATACACCGCGAGTATCTGGTGTTGGTGATTTGTTTGTTGAGAAGTCGAGCTCGAAGCGAGGTCGTGGTCGTCCATCGTCGATTCCACCTGAGATTAGTCCTGATGATGAGAGTGCAACACCGAGGAAGAGATTATCGTCGGTATCTACAGCTGATGTTGTTGGTCTCAGTGGTGTGAAGAAGCTGATGAAGACTCCGAAGTCAGTGTATACACCGCGAGTATCTGGTGTTGGTGATTTGTTTGTTGAGAAGTCGAGCTCGAAGCGAGGTCGTGGTCGTCCATCGTCGGTTCCACCTGAAATTAGTCCTGATGATGAGAGTGCAACACCGAGGAAGAGATTATCGTCGGTATCTACAGCTGATGTTGTTGGTCTCAGTGATGTGAAGAAGCTGATGAAGACTCCGAAGTCAGTGTATACACCGCGAGTATCTGGTGTTGGTGATTTGTTTGTTGAGAAGTCGAGCTCGAAGCGAGGTCGTGGTCGTCCATCGTCGGTTCCACTTGCAATTGTTTCTGATAATGAGAGTGCAACACCGAGGAAGAGATTATCGTCGGTATCTACAGCTGATGTTGTTGGTCTCAGTGATGTGAAGAAGCTGATGAAGACTCCGAAGTCAGTGTATACACCGCGAGTATCTGGTGTTGGTGATTTGTTTGTTGAGAAGTCGAGCTCGAAGCGAGGTCGTGGTCGTCCATCGTCGGTTCCACTTGCAATTGTTTCTGATGATGAGAGTGCAACACCGAGGAAGAGATTATCGTCGGTATCTACAGCTGATGTTGTTGGTCTCAGTGGTGTGAAGAAGCTGATGAAGACTCCGAAGTCAGTGTATACACCGCGAGTATCTGGTGTTGGTGATTTGTTTGTTGAGAAGTCGAGCTCGAAGCGAGGTCGTGGTCGTCCATCGTCGGTTCCACCTGAGATTAGTCCTGATGATGAGAGTGCAACACCGAGGAAGAGATTATCGTCGGTATCTACAGGTGATGTTGGAAACGTAACGCGGAAAAGTGACGCGATGTCTAAGGCTTTCGGCGGAAAGCGGAAACCGGAGACTAACAGTGCAGTTGTGGTCAATGTAGGTGAGAAGGCACCTAATGAAAGAACTGAGTCGCCAGCTGAACGTGTTACGAGAAAGCGAAATGTGGAGGCTAACAACGAAGTGAGGGTCAATGAAGGACGGAGGATACCTACTGATAGAACTGAGTCCCCAGCTAAACGTGTTACGAGAAGGCTGAAATTGGAGACTGACAGCGAAATGAGGAGGAATGAAGGACAGAAGATGCCTACTGATAGAGCTGAGTCGCCAGCTAAACGTGTTACGAGAAGGCGGAAAGTGGAGACTAACAGTGCAGTTGTAGTCTCTGAAGGTGAGAAAACACTTACTGAAAGAACTGAGTCTCCAGCTAAACGTGTTACGAGAAAGCGAAATGTGGAGGCTAACAACGAAGTGAGGTTCAATGAAGGAGAGAAGATACCTACTGATACAACTGAGTCACCGGCTAAACGTGTTACGAGAAAGCGAAATGTGGAGGCTAACAACGAAGTGAGGGTCAATGAAGGACAGAAGATACCTACTGATACAACTGAGTCACCAGCTAAACGTGTTACGAGAAGGCGGAAAGTGGAGACTAACAGTGCAGTTGTAGTCTCTGAAGGTGAGAAAACACCTACTGAAAGAACTGAGTCGCCAGCTAAACGTGTTACGAGAAAGCGAAATGTGGAGGCTAACAACGAAGTGAGGTTCAATGAAGGAGAGAAGATACCTACTGATACAACTGAGTCGCCAGCTAAACGTGTTACGAGAAGGCGGAAAGTGGAGACTAACAGCGAAATGAGGGTCAATGAAGGACAGAAGATGCCTACTGATAGAACTGAGTCGCCAGCTAAACGTGTTACGAGAAGGCGAAATGTGGAGACTAACAACGAAGTGAGGGTCAATGAAGGACGGAAGATACCTACTGATACAACTGTGTCACCAGCTAAACGTGTTACGAGAAAGCGAAATGTGGAGACTAACAACGAAGTGAGGGTCAATGAAGGACGGAAGATACCTACTGATACAACTGAGTCACCAGCTAAACGTGTTACGAGAAGGCGGAAAGTGGAGACTAACAGTGCAGTTGTAGTCTCTGAAGGTGAGAAAACACCTACTGAAAGAACTGAGTCGCCAGCTAAACGTGTTACGAGAAAGCGAAATGTGGAGGCTAACAACGAAGTGAGGTTCAATGAAGGAGAGAAGATACCTACTGATACAACTGAGTCACCGGCTAAACGTGTTACGAGAAAGCGAAATGTGGAGGCTAACAACGAAGTGAGGTTCAATGAAGGAGAGAAGATACCTACTGATACAACTGAGTCACCAGCTAAACGTATTACGAGAAAGCGAAAAGTGGAGACTAACAGTGCAGTTGCAGTAAATAAGAAACAGAGAAAGCTTCCTGATACAGCAAAATCTCCAACTGCAGTCCGTATAACTCGATCAAGGTCATGATAAATATCTTCTAGAAAGAGGCGTTTATTTGGTTTAATTTCTATGTATGTATACTTTAGGAAAAATAGCTATTTATCTTGCGTGGTTTTTCGCCTTATCAAATAATTCAGTGCTAGTATAATAACTACGGATACGGTGTTCTCCCTAACCATCTTTTGTCATCCATTGCTTTATATAATCCTGATTACCATGATGCAGTTTATTCCTTATTATTTTTCCTTTATTTTCTTATTATATACATATGATGTTAGTAATATTGATATATATATGTATAGTCCCAATATTTTATTCAATTTTTCAAATGTAATATTTTACCTGTTTTTGTTACATATGCATACATGTATATTATTTACTGTTACGTAGTAGTTCTTGCGATAAATCCTTGTTCTAGACCAAAAAAAAATGTTATCTAGGTAGGTGCTTTCTGCCAAGTTACGCCATATCCAGCGTAGACGTGATATCCTGCGGTCTATCGAACAAAGGGTGTGTGTACTGCTCACCACCAACCAGTATACTCTGTCCAACCTTATGGTTGTGAGACCTGGCCATTGAAAGTAGAGAACATGCAAAGGCTGGGTAGCTGTCTTTGATCATAGGTGCCTGAGGTAGGCTGACAGGGAGGGACTTGGATTCAAGGCCTATTACGCTGAGAGACAAGCTTAAGCTTAAAGAGCATATGGAGACGTTGACATCAGCATTGTATACCTTATGACGCATAAACAGCTTTTTAGTATCATTACAATCTGATCTCTGTTGTGTATTGTTATAGAGTAGGAAGAATTATGTATATATATGCTTGCGTTATTTCAGAGAAATGATTTTTGAGAAAACCTTTATTTTAATTTGTAGATAATTATGCCATAATGTCATACTTATATTTGGGTTTTGTTTTTCAATCCGACGTTTATATTTTGAGCATCCGAACTACGTTTAAAAATGTCCACTTCTTTTTTATTTGCACACCATCTAGTTTTTATCTATTTCGCCTTCATATTTACATCAAGTGGCTGAATTATTTTAGCTCATTTCACAATGGAATTCGATTAGTATTTGAGGATAGATATTCGTAATTTGTATAGTAGAGGAGATTTGTAGCGCTCAGGTGGATATATATATATGTAATGTGGTTGTGGTGTTCCCTGTCTAGTTAGTCATATTTAATTGTCAAGCGTTTTCACATTATATTTCTAGATGTGCTAAAGAAATTAACCCTAACTGACTTCAGTGACTTAGGCAGAGATTGACTTGTTACCATCAGGGAATAATCTCGTTGACTTAAAATATGCAGATAATATTGTCCTACCTGCTAGGTGAAAACTGACAAAATGCAGAGTCTTCTGAACACCTTGAGCATCAATCTTCGAATACTAGACATGCGACTCGCTCTTGTCGAATGTAAGATGATGCTACAGTACTGGACTGCATTGACTCCTAGCTTAGAAATAGGAAATGAAGTGGTAGAGCACGTTTGGGAAGTTGCATCAGCCACAACAGGTTGATCGCCGACGAAATCTCAGAACGGATAGAGGAGCCGAGTTTCGCACCCGCCAGTTTGCGCCATTTCTGGCGTAGGCGTGATATTCGGCTGCCAATCGAACAAAAGGATGTGCGTACTGGCCAGCAGTATACTCTGCCTAACTTAATGATTGTGAGACTCGGTCATTGAAAGTACAAGAAATGCAAAAATTGGGTGGCTGTCTTCTACTATAGGTGTCTGCTTTCTATCTCCCTTGGCATGCGAGAGGTACTGCAATCGATGCGCAGGTACTCCGACTCACCTCGTCTCCACCCCCGAGGTGGTGACAAGCGTTTGTGCGTCGGCGGCACAGTGGTTAGGACTCTTGCCGACCATGCATATGGTCCGGGGTTCGATCCCCTGCCGACGAACACCTGATACCTATGGTCGGCCTGCAAAATTTTGGCTACCGATATCACATGCTGAAAATTCCACACTTGTACCTAAAATACGGTGTGGCATCAAGCTGTAATCAATAAAAAACTCCTGTGCGAAGTTGTATACTAGGGTGAGCGATTTTTAGGTTAGGTCTCCATCGAGTGCTAGGTAAGGTAGGGAAATCAGTAGAAGAGGCTGTGATGACACATTGATTGAGAAGAGTGTCCTCAGGACGGCAAACACCAATGTCGACTGGAGACAGTTGGTGTGATATGGCTCAAAGTGATTGTTTTCAGTGGCTGGCGTTGTTGTTGTTGTTATGCCACTGGTTAAACGTATAACCTCATAACTTTAATGAGAAGAAGTCTTCGTCATTGTGTTTTCAAATCGGTTGAATTAATAAGTTAATGTTTCTGCATTCCACTGAATAAAAAAAAATTGATTTTCCCCACAGGATCTCTTGTGGTTGAAATCATTTAAGATTAACAACTAGTAATTTCAGCAACTAATTCTCAAAATGTTGCTATGAAATTCATATTGTATCGACAGAAGACAAGGATCAGGCAACAGATCGTTTATTGGGAAAATCAGGAGGTATTTATAGATTTTTATGTCCAATATTATTAGGGTTATTGTTAACAGAGAAGTGGCGTCTTCTGTTTGGTTGTTTTCTTGCTGAAAGTTATTCTGTACTGCTTCTGAACGTTTCTTAGAAAATAAAGCAGTATAGCTGCGAGTCATATATGCACATGTCAAGTCTGCTGTGATTGGTTGGTGATTTCCTCAAGGTTGAGCTTTGTTATTATTTTTTCTCGTGACTAGTAGTTGTCGTCCCCTTATGAAGTCTTATTTTCAGGCTTATCTTTAAATATTCGACCGAGAGGGGTGGCCTACAGGAGGGAGTTCTTCGAAGTAACACCTTCTAAGTAATGGACCGGTATGCTGGTATCGCTGCTGACGAATTGAGTGAAGTTACAAAGAAATCATATAATTTCTGTCGGTGGAACATTGGTGTAGAGAGAGAAGAACAGAAGAGGCATCTGGGGAGACCATTTTCTTATTTTTCAAGTTGACAGTCTTAATTGAATCAATAAAATCAATTGTGTCACGGAGGGTGTATTTCTCAACAGCTTTCCACACACTGGTCCAGCTATTTCGTGATTTAAGTGATATGGAGAGTTTATCATTTACTAATAATGGGCGAAGTGGGACATGTCGTTTGTCTTCTATGATTGGCCTCGGAAAGCCTTATTTCATGACAGAATTTGATGTACACTAGATAATAAGTAAAGTGAAGAATAATTGATTGAAGTTGATATGTAGCCACATGATGTGTGTTTTGTTTTTGACAGTCTGTTATATTTTGCTGTGTGTATATGGATCGATATTCCATTATAACTGACAATATGCTTTTGTCTATCCATTAACTAAATAAACAATGTATGACCTTGTGGTCACATGACATTACAACCAATCATGGTAAGACTGTCTGTCTGTTGGCTCATGCGTATTAGTCATTTTCATATATACTCTTGCTTTGTATACTTGTTCACACAATTCGTACACTACGTACCATTTCACTCACACACTTGTGTAACATTTATTTTCCTTGTCTGCAAAAATACAAGTATCATCGTGAACGAGGTGGTCTTCTGATTTCCCTCTTTCCGCGTCAGGACTAATAACTACTCGACGAGTACATAACAAAAGTCATATACGATTAGAGGGGAAATCAATCGACAAGGTTGTGAAGTTACATCGACTGAGATGGTTAGGACATGTGTTACGTATGCCTAGTCATCGCCTTCCTCGACGAGTAATGTTAGCTGATATAGGGTCAGGCTGGAAAAGAGCTAGCGGCGGTCAAACCAAAACGGCTTCATCAGTCAATGAAATTGACAACAGTTAGTCTAAACCACGTAGGAAGGTGTAGACTTCCTAGTTGGGGTGCTCAGGACGGTAAAAACCAATGGTTGGAAACAATTGGTAACATGGCTCAGAATCGTTGTCAATGGTCGGCGCAGATGCATCCACTCCTTGTGACTTATGATCTTCAATGAAACTGTTTTGTTCTTCGTTATCACTGTTCCTTTGTCTCACACCTCTGTTTACTGTCTGTATTATGCATTTCTTCTACTTTGTTCTTTTGCTTTGTGTGCTATATGGAGTGCGGCGACTTGAACTTCCGCACATATGTGCAAAGTTCGATGTCGTAAACAGACAGACAGACATATAGGATTAGAAGGTGATGGTGAATGTACATAATATAGGATGCTGAGTCAGTTACTTAGTTGTATTTTCTTCAGTGTTTATTTGTAGCACTGCTGAACTGGTTATTTATCCACAAATTGGTGTTCATCAAAGTTTCCTTTGGTTTTCTTTAAGAGAAATTATGTCACAAGCCAACATTAGTCATCATAAACCCTGTGTGTACTCAACGTCTGATAAGTAGAGGTACTGACCAGTATCCTCCGTTAAAGACCTGGTAGACTCCGCTCTTCTCTAAGAAATGTTCTCTCTGTCAGGTTATTCCAACTTCCTGCCTTCACGTGGCCGGGGTTGTTCCTCATAAAAGTGAAACAGTGACTTCCAACGCCTTGCGCTTACAACTGGACTACTGGTGGATGGACAGGTGTAGCTAGAAGAGATGGGGGGCTGATAGGATCCCACATATTTTGGTATTGACTGTTTAATCTTGCATATATGGTATGTTATCATTCCCACACATTTTGTTATTGACTGTCAAATCTCGCACATATGGTATATTATCATCTCTCACGCACTTTGTTATTGGCTATCAAGATCAATTATTTCAAATGCTGTTAGCTGTCCATATTGTTGTAAAATGTATAAATACCATGGCTTTCTTTATCGTTGTTGCACTTCAATACACAGTCCAGCCTTTGTCTTTTGATATTTGCGTGCTTTACTAAATCGGAAGGTACGACAAGCAGATAGGCAGATTAGTTTCAGGCGCAGACAGAGCAAGGTGAAAACGTCTTCCTTCAATACCCTACCGTTATAACAGGAACCCCCTAACTACAAACTTATGGTGGACATGGGCTGTTCCAGAATGCGAACGGATCGAATGGTGAATGAAACTGGGTTTGGCTATCAGAAGCCGTAATCCCTTAAGACAACTACCTGATGCATTCTGGGTGTTCGGGAACGATCTCAACTTTTTCACAAGCTATGTGGTTTTGTATGGCCTATCTCTTGGCGCCCATATTGTGACAGTTTTGTGTTTGAATAAATAATGGTATTGAATATCTGACTCTCTATATCTAGGCTGTTCAACAGTGTGCATGCAGTCTGACGACTGTCAGGTTACTAAGCTAGCGGCGCGTCAACCACTGAGATTCTTTCTTACTTTAGAAACTGATCAACCATATTCCTTGACTACAATCAGTTAGCGATGTCGAGACAGATCACTCAACTGTTACTTTATGAGGAGGGTGATTTCTGTATATATCACTTCAGAGAATAGTGAGACATTTTGTAGTTCACTCGTGAAGTCCACTCTGTCGTGACTCGAACCAGACAATTTAAATCCGAATGTAAAATTGCATTCAAGCTTTGTATTTATGCGGCTCATAACCTGCTCAAACTTGAAATTTCTACAACCGGAATGCTGTCGTATGATATAAACTCAGTGTATTTTGAGGAATTCCTTTCAA